TATTATGTATGCCTTTCTCCTCTCTTAATGCCTTTGGATTACACTAATTTTAATTGAATTTACATTTTTATGTAGTTCAATTTTTTTATTATTATTATTATGGTTAGTCCTTTTTAAAAAATCCTGTTTAAGAAAACTTTTTTTACTACAAAGTTTTATTGGTTTGTTGTTCTCCTGTAGTAGACCTATCATCTAAAAAGATCATTGTGTTTGGTTGGTGGGGGGGGGGGTCAATATTCACTTTGGTTGCAAAAGAATGCATAGTTGAACCAGCATCATTTATTGAAAAAATTATTTTTCCCCACTGTACTATGTCACCTTTGTCATAAATAAGACAACCGTCTATGTATGGGTTTGTTTCTAAATGTTTTAGTATTCTATTGAGCTATATTTTCTTGTGCTAACACCATCCTGTGTTAACTTCTATAGTAATATATATATGTATATTATTTATTTATTTATTTTTGGGTGATGGAGTCTCACTCAATCACTCAGGCTGGAGTGCAGTAGTGTGGTCTCAGCTCATTGCAACCTCTGCCTCCCGGGTTCAAGTGATTCTCCTGTCTCAGCCTCCTGAGTAGCTGGAATTACGGGCGTGCACCACCACACCCAGCTAATTTTTATACGGAGTCTCACCATGTTGGCCAGGCTGGTCTTGAACTCCTGACCTTCGGTGATCTGCCTGCTTCAGCCTCCCTAAGTGCTGGGATTACAGGTATGAGCCACCATGCCTGGCTGTAATATCTTTAATATCCTGTATAAATTCTGTAGTGTGGTTCATTTTCCTCACGATTGCCTTGGTCTAAACGTGTGTGTGTGTGTGTGTGTGTGTGTGTGTGTGTGTGTGTGTGTGTGTGTGTGTGTATTTTATTATCAACTCTTCAATACCCATTTGGTTATGATTGCATTGACTAGATTGATTGTGGAAGAACGGACATGTCGTTGTTGTTTTTGTTTGTTTGTTTTTTAATCGTTTGATTGAGTGCCTCACTCTGTCACCCAGGCTGGGGTACAGTGGCCCGATCTTGGCTCACTGCAACCTCCACCTCCTGGGTTCAAGTGATTCTCCTGCCTCAACCACACCTGGCTAACTGGCTAATTTTTTTTTTTTTTTTTTAATAGATGTGGGGTTTTGCTGAGGCTGGTCTTGAACTCCTGGCCTCAAGTGAGTATCTTGTGGAGAAATACTTTGAGACTATCCAGATGACTTGTTCCTGTTCTGTTGGCCTACTTTAGCATCCATCAGTGCTTGTCTGCAACAGTTTTTACTGTGGTTTTTGTCTAATGACATCTGTTTCACTATTTTGTTCAAGACCACCTTCAGCAAAACCCCATCTGTACTAAATTAGCCAGGTTTGGTGGCACACACCTGTAATCCCAGCTACTCAGGAGGCTGAGGTGGGAGAATTGCTTGAACCCAGGAGGTGGAGGTTACAGTGAGCTGAGATCATGCCCCTGCACCCCAGCCTGGATGAAACAGCGAGACTTTGAATCAAACAACAACAAAAAAAGATAATATGTCTGTTCTTCCCCAATTAATCTGTGGTCAATGCAATCATAATCAAAATTCTTAGCAAATTATTTTGTGGATATTGAAGAGGCGATTGTAAAATATAGAGAGACATAAACAAGGCTTAGACCGAGGCAATCTTGAGGAAAATGAACCACACTACAGAATTAGTCAGGGATGAAATCATAGGGAGTCAGAACTGTCTTCTTGAGTTGAGTCACTTCCTAAGTGGGGGTCACAAGATTAGATGAGCCAGTTTATCAACCTGGGTGGTGCCAGCTGAATCCATCAAGTGCAGGGTCTGCAAAATATCTCAAGAAGTGATATGAGGAGCAGTTTAGGGAGGGCCAGAATCTTGTAGCCTCCAGCCACATGACTTTTAAACCATAATTTCTAATCGTGTGGCTAATGTTAGTCCTACAAAGGCAATATAATCCCCAGGCAAGAAGGAGGTCTGCTTCGGGAAATGGCTATGATTATCTTTGTTTTTAAAATTATAAACTAAGTTTCTCCCAAAGTTATTTCAGCCTATGCCCAGGAATGAACAAGGACAGGTTGGAGGTTAGAAGTAAGATTGAGTCAGTTAAGTTAGATGTGTCTCACTGTCTCAGTCATAATTTTGCCGAGGCAGTTCCAGGTTTACAGTCAGGCTGTAGCCAATTTTCCACCTGTAGTCTAGACACCTGTGGTTACTAGAGTGTAGTTCTCTAGCCCAGGTAGAAAGCCTATTCCGTAAAATTTAATGCAGGGTCTGGTTATAGGTACTCTTGCTCTGTGAAAGTGTGGGTACCATAGAGTACTGAAGTACTCTGTGGGGTTACCATGTGGTTGTAGGGCTTTGTCCACTTTGGCAGCCATAAGAGATCTAGGGCAGGGCACCATCCGTTTTGAATCTCAACCCATTCAATTCTGCAAGTATCCCACTTAGAAGTCCCACAGTTTTCAGAGAACTATGCTTGTGATCGTTATCTTGGGGCCAAATATGTAGGTCCCTTTTAATAACCCTTTCATTTATGACTGTTTTTTCCTACTTCTCTGATTTGGGAGGTTTCTTTCTGGATTCTAGCAAATTAACTTCTTCAAGGACTTCTCTTTCACCTTCCAGTGCCACTTTTCTTCAGCTCTTTCAGGTTTTGTTGTCGGCCTTTTCTCATCTGTTCTGTGTCATCCAGAAGCGCCTAATGATTCTTGGCTTTCCAGGGATGCTGTAAATTTAATTTCATATTTTTTCTATTATATCTGTGGAAGTAGAGAAACGCAGCTCTGTATGAGTGTAGGTATATGTTTATTTAATACCTGTAGGTATTTCTGAGCTTTATTGTTACTGGAAGAGAGTTCATTTCTCAAAGTTTTATAGTTACTGTTTTAAAAGTAAGAAGCAAATGTCATTTTTAAAAATTAAAATTGTTTTAAAATGCTTCCCTTTTTTTTCAAGCAAATGCCATTTTATTTTATGTTTAGTGTAATCCTTCTCAAGAATATTTAAAGGGGATATTTTCCTTGAGTGTTATTTATTTATTTATTTTATTATTTTGATATAAGGTCTTGTTCTGTTACCCAGGCTGGAGTGCAGTGGCTCAATCATAGCTCATTGCATACTTGACCTTCCAGACTCAAGCCAGTCCTCCCACTTCAGCTTCCTCAGTAGCTAGGACTACAGGTGCACGCCACTGTGCCTGGCTAAACTTGAGTTTTCTTTTTAATATAGAGATGTTAAAAATGAAAGCTTTGATCTTAGCTGAGTTATTTAATATACCTTTTATTACTAGGTTTACTTTATTCTGATAACAGTTGTTACCTTTTGTAGCTATATTATTTACATATTTTATTTTTGTTTTTATAGTTTATCAAAAGTCTGAGTAGAATATTGCTGTTTTGTTTACAACTGCTTTATTTTATGAAGGTTAGCGTTTTTTAAAAAATTACTGACTTGTTTTACTTTTTTCTCTAGTAGGATTTCACTGTTTCCTTTTTGTGAGGAGGGTGGGTAGGAAACAGTAGAAAGGTCTTTAAAAACATGGATTGAAAATTTTTAGAGGAATTGCCTGCATGGTGGCTTGATTGCTCAGAATGGGCCCATACTGTCATTCATCCATGGATATGGTTTTGCCAAATTAAAGTGATGGTCTCTTATTCCTAAACTGCATCACCTGTACAAAAGGAATGCAAGTTTGGATCATTTTCCATGTAGAATTGTTGAAGGGGTGGTCTGAGGTCAAGAGGGTGAGATTTGAGGTGAGGGCAGGGAAGGACCAGCACTGCTGCTCCTTTGACAGCATGAGAGAACCCTGGCGTTGTTGGTGTGGTGTTCACCAGCACTCACTCCACCCTCTTCCCACTGACAGAAAGTAGGAGGAAGCCTGTGGGCAAAGGGAGTCAGAGAAATGTCCATAGTCTCTTAGCTCTGATCTGACAGAGTATAGAAGGGAGAATGTGGGGCTGAGAGACAATGGATTAATAATTGACATGATAAGATAAGCATTTTTTTAAAATATGCTTTTTTGTTTTGTATTTTGTTATATTTTTGTGATGCGTTTGACAAATCAAGTTACTCGAGTTCTAATCTTTATATTTTTTCAAGACAATTTCTATATCTCTGACTTTATTATTTTTGGAAGATTTTTCTGAGAACTTTGATATTTCACTTGAAATATTTGGTGTCCTTCATTTGCCTTTCCTTTTCTTCAGTACAGGCAAGTAGAGTTCAAATGTCAGTAGCTGAGATGACAAACTTTTTCTAAACCTTAAAAATAATGTTGTTAGAGGAAAGATGGGAAATAATTTGTGAGTGGATTATAATTTCCTTTTTTTAAAGGCTTAATTTTTTTAGAGAGTCATTTAAGGTTTACAGCAAAATTGAGAAGAAAGTATAAAGATTTCCCTATCCCTTTCCCCTATGTATGCTTAGCCTCTTTTACTATGGACATTCCTTTCTAGAGGGGTACATTTGTTTTATTTGATGAACTTATGTTGACATATTGTTATCACCCAAATTCTATAGTTTAGAGTTCATTCTTGGTATTCTATACTCTGAGTTTTGATATATGTATAATGCATATATCCATCATCATGGTATCATACAAAGCATTTTCATTGCCCTAAAAATCCCCCGTGCTCTGTCTATTCATCCCTCCCTCCTTCACAGTCCCTGGCTACCACTGATCTTTTTATTGTTTCCATAGTTTTACTTTTTTCAGAATGTCGTATACTTGTAATTATACAATACAATATGTAGCCTTTCCAGATTGGCTTGTTTCACTTAGCTGTGTGCATTTAAGTTTCCTCAGTGTTTTTTAATGTCTTGGTAGCTCATTTTTTAGTGATAGTGTGGATGTACCACAATTTATTTATTTATTTATTTTTTATTTCATTGATATTTAATAATTTTTCATTGTAGGGCTCATTTATGTAGCATGCCGTTAAGAGAGGCAGAAAATATTCCCTTTAACTTAAATTTGAATTTGTCTTGATGTTTGTTTGCTTTTTGTAGGTTCTACATGAAACATTTCTTCAACATACATTCCTCATGAATGGTCTCATTCAAGGTGTAAAGGTAAGAAAAACTTTTTAGGTTTGTAATGAACCAAAGCCAGGATCCTTGGTAGTTTAACTCTGAAATTTTAGTGGGACTTTGGGAAACATACTATTTGTTCTGGAGACTGAAATCTAAATTTTTAGCAGGGTTATTACCAAAGTCACTGTAAAATACAGTACAAATACATAAGGCATAGAATACTGGCAAAAGCAGTGTGAATACTCTGTAGGCCTAACTTTATTTTTTTTTTATTGTGTACACAACAGGTTATGAAGGGTTTAATTATTATGTAACTTTTAACTGCTCTGCTTATCAACAGAGTAAAGTGGGCAATTGCTACTGTCTTCTTTTTAGGTATCTGAGGATGAAGGAAGCCAAGCTGACAAACTGGCCATGACTTTGTGATAACTCAACCACTTGATTTAATTAGCCTTAATTCATTATGTCAATTTTAATATGATATATATCAAAACTGCTTTTAACTGTTTTTCTGTTTGTGCTGAAAATACTCACCAGTGGTGCTTGTGGCTGCAGCATTACTCCAAGATAACTTTGCCACAAAACGTATTGCTTTTATTAGTATTTTTGCATTGCTTTAGTATATTGACTTTGGAAACAAAAGACATCATTTTACTGATAGCATTCTTTTTCCTCATTCTTTTAAATAAATTTTTTTTTGAAATGGAGTCTTGGTCTCTTGCCTAGGCTGGAGTGCAGTGATATGATCTTGGCTCACAGCAACTTCCACCTCCTAGGTTCAGGTGATTCTCCTGCCTCAGCCTTCTGAGTAGCTGGGATTTCAGGTGTCCGCCACTACGCTCAGCTAATTTTGTATTTTTAATAAACGGGGTTTCACCATGTTGGCCAGGCTGGTCTCAAACCACTGACCTCAAGTGATCTGCCTGCCGTGGCCTCCCAAAGTGCTATAATTACAGGCATGAGCCACTGCACTCGACCAGCATTCTGTTTTTAACAGTGATATTTCTAGTTACAAAATATAGTAACATTCTGTCACTGAAAATATCAAATCCTAGAAAATGTAGCATTTCTACCTATGATGTTAACCTTGTTCTTGAACTTAATGCCTGAAGATTCATTTGATGAATCCAGTTTTTCTGAAATAGAGATTCTGATGATTCAGGTGATTCTGATGTTTACCTCTGTTTAGAAATAACTCAAAGAACACTTTTTATATTTTGTAATCAGTCAGATTTGCTTCAGCCTCAAAGAGTGTATTTTTGTAAAATTAAATGAACATTGGCACTGAGCTGCACTTGTTTTTTCTAAATAGGAAAAGGGTTAAATAGAGGGTTACAATATAACAGTATTTTTTAGTCTCTTACAGTAAAGTGTATGCGTGTAGGATCTGATTTGTGCTTCCCAGTTTAAATACTATCAATCTATGCATAATTATACTTTGTACTGAACAACATACTTAAAATTATGCCTTACTAATGTGTTGAATTTAGCTTTTGTAATTTGTTATATTCACAGCTCCTACACAGCATTAATTGTAATGAATATTGTTTATTCTTTGCCTGTTTTCAAAAAGAATTTGAGGATACTTACATGTAAAACATCATTTTATTTTTATTTTTTATCATTTGGGTACTTTTTTTTTACAGCTGTATTTCTTTATACTAAAGGAAAACAAAGTTCAAATGCCCAACAGTAATTATGTTTAACACTTAGTCCACATTAAACAGACAAAAGGCTACTGAGAACACTGGATTTAGATAAAAGTGTTATAGGCATAACTAACTACAATTTAATTTATGTATAAATAAGAAAAAAAGTTCCTGGCTGAAGAGGATAAGGAGATTTATTTCCCAGTCTTCTTTAATTTGGACAACCCCCATCAACTGAGCAGACATCCCAGTAGTAGACCAAAATGACTGCTCTCCCCGCCAGCAGTTTTGACACCATTAGCCCTGCTAGCCCAGAGGAGAGAGTGGCTCCATGGCTCTACCTGGTTTTCCAGTTTCAGGAGCCCAGTCGATGCCTTTGGTCAGCTGAGACTTTTCAAACAGCATTGGCACATTTAGCTGGTCTGAACTATTTTAAATGCCACCACCCAGCAGACAGGAGGCTCTCATTAGATTCTAAATCTGCTATTTAAATTAAAAAAGAAAGAAAAAAGGAGAAACTCATTAGAATAAGGCCACCTAGGAATGTTAATTAACATCTCCATTCAGCCTTTGGCTGATATATGAGACTACAAATAATAAATCTTGCTTTTCCCCCAGATGCAGCTTCTGGGGCTTGGTCTACAGTGTTCAGAAAGACACATTAGTGCTGTAGTTCCAGTGGCTTCTGCAAATGAGGGCTTGGCAGTTATCAGTGGACCAACACATAGTATTCAGCACCAGACCATGGGCCTTCCTGCTTCCTGAGTTTCACAAGTAGGATGCATATTAGGGGAGCAGCCCATACCTCTGTTGAAGGAAGGCTGTAGTACTTTCCAGGGCACAGCCTGGACGAATGATGCCAAACTTTCTATGCACAGGTAAGTCAACCATAGTTGAGCCGAGGCAACACTCAGGGCTCTGGCCATCCCCAGTTTGTCTCCCCCATCAATGACCAAGAACAAGTGAGGTCAGAGGTCTTACAACTCCTTGACATTCAGAGAACTGTCCTGGGAGCTGAGGTTGGCAATAGTGAGAGCAAGAGGACCGTCATACATGTTGGCCAAGTTTTGCATAAAGGCATAATTAGGAATCTGGATGTCTTATAAGAGGAGTAAAGGGGTTTAGGTCCTTGTTGACCTCCCCTGAACATTCAGGGGTACTGGTCCTGATAATAGGTCTTTCAGGAGTTCCTGGGGTACTCTCATACAGTCACTGGCTTGGCCTTCCTGCAGCGCTTGAGGCAGTACACAGTACACAGGGCCACTGAGCAGCTTGCTGCACAGGCCACAGCATATGGTATATCGGTGTGGGTGGCTATCATGGTGTTGGTGTACAGCTCAGCCATGGCTGAACACTCTGGGCTTGCTCCCTCGCTCGGTTCCACACTGGCAACCACTGTGGCCCTCATGCCTCTGGACTGACATGCCAGAGACACCCTCCCATTTGGGTGCTTTTTATTATTTAACAAACACTGGGAATACGTAAACAAGAGATACACAACCTAGAAATTATTTACAGACTTTCTAGTTAAACAGAGAACTATGACTAAAGTGTTAATAACATACAGATTATATGCATGATAAGTACATTTCTAAATAAGATTCCCAATTTACCATTTTTTTATTTGGAATAATCCTAACAAAACCATTAGAATCCTAAAGTAAAAATCCACTTATCACTTAAGTTAAATCAGAAACAATGAATTCAAAATGGAAAGTAGCTAAAAGTCTGAAATGTTTTTTCCCATAAACTTAGAAAGAACCACCTTCTACTTCCATAAATACATTATGCTTTATAACAATGCATTGTTGCCACATACTGTACAATAGACTTTATGAACTGCTAACTGTTTCAGTGTCTCACTCTGAACACGTCTAGATTGTTGAGAAACCTTTTGTTGCTGTTGTTGAAATATATTCTACAAACATAAAAAAAAATTTTGAAATGACCATTTGGGTAAAATTTTAAATTTAGCAAAAAACATATTCTACATTAAACTTAAATAGTTTTAAAAACAATAACAAATGACCAAATTTAGGTAATTTGTGTTTATCACTAACGTGCAACAATATAATAATCCTACCATGGGCTGAATACGAAATTTTAGCAGTATTCAAGACCTGTCTTATTTCTTCGTGATTTCAGTATCCACACAGATTATCCTTCCGATAATGTGGTCTTTCAGTTCTTTGATGTATTTCCCAGTGATTTTTGTCCTCCACCCTAAGTTAGCCATTCACTTAACAGTAACTGTAACCATTACGTAGTATTAATAATAGCAAACATTCTAAGAGATAGGTCCTCATTATTCACTTTCATAGTTGAGTAAATTGAGACAGAAAGGTAAATAATTTGCCCATTGATTTATAGCTACAATTGCTCAAACCAGAATGTTACCCCAAACAGTATTGTTTCCAGCATCCAAGTTCTAACCATTATACATACTGTTTCTCTATATATCCTAGTATTCAACCTCTACCTCCTTACCATTCTAGCTTACTCTCTTTTGTACTAAAGCTCAATATGTCAGCACTGAAAACCAATCTTACCTGCCTTTCACTTTCATCCCTACCCCTGTATCCTCACTTTCATCTTTCTGGGCTTAAATTCTGTGGTCAATCATTATAATTATTGCTTTGCATATAGAGCTTGCCCTGTTGTTACTCTGTCACACTTGGTTGGCCAAACCCCAACCCTTGAAAATTTAATTTTCTAGCTACTCTATCTGGAGGCAATGCCTTTTCCACCATCTGATGGCCTTAACTATGTCACTAGATAAATAGAAGCAATCCAAAGAGAAATTTCAGTCTCCCATCACCACATCCTCTATCCACCTGCATGTTTCTGTTCTTATTTACTCTACCACCTCTACTGTTTCTAAGGATAAACTGTCCTTTGTCCTTGCTAAAGCCAGTTTCACATATCTCATCCATTCTCAAGGATTCAGCAATAATGCGGTTTTTTTCCCCCAGTATTTAAAATTTTTCCTCTAAATTATTCTTCCTAGCATTCTATTTCTCTAATCTTTTGAACAAAACCTCTTTTCCTTTTCTCCACAGGCTACTACCCCATTTCTTTCTTTCCCATGCTATTTTACATTCATTACAAGTAGAATTCCAAACTCACTTTTTCACCAGAATTATTCTGATCCATTTTCCTTCTTCAAAGGCTTTCTTTACTTGCTTTGTTCAATTGGCCTACCATGGTTTTCTTTCTACCTGTTAGTCCACTTATTCTCAGTCTTCTTATACTCTAAATCATATCTAGATCACTTATAATACCTAATACTATGTAAATAGTTATACTGCATTTTTTTGTTGTTGTTGTTTTTGTATTGTTTTTGTTTTCTTCCAAATATTTTTCATCCATGATTGGATGAATCTGCAGATA